GAGTACAGGAAGATACAGAGGAATAGACGATGAATAAATTGGTAAAAACAAAAACAAGAGCCTGCCGTGTCACTGCATGAGCGAAACAGTTGAAATTGCTGCGGACAGAATACACAGTAACAAGAATCGACAATCATTGAACCAAAGTGATATTACGGCCTGTTTAAAGACCTTCAGATCGATGGCAGGACGAACCGACGAATTTCTTCAGGTTTATTCCATGGAGCAACATGGATAAGATCGCAGAAGCGATAAGTTCGTGGTGTAAGATCTTCAAGTGGCTTTCATCGAATAAAAACAGTGAATCGAAAGGAGCTGATGATGGCGAAAGAGTTGTAGCAGATTTCGACTCAAGCAGATCAGCTTTGAGAGTATTTCCAAAGGGCGGAACTGTTCCACCGAAAATACGTATGTCTTTTTGGATGAATTACGGAATCGTAGACAGCAAAGGCCTCTGATGAAAGGACTGCCATAAACCAAACTCTTCTTAACAGGGATCGTTCGAAACCAGGTCAAATATCGGAAGCGCATAAATAAACCCGGAATACATGGTTCACACAGGGTGGATGTTACGTTATCGTCATCAAAAGTTGTCAGAGTTTGAACAACAGAATAACCCAGATTTGTGATATCGCTGGAATGGTTAGAAATGGTATCTCGAGTGATATTAGGTATCTCTCATTGCTGTGGTAAATACTGTGTTTCTCGTCGCCAGCAGAACGAGGTGCTTTTAAGCTTCTTACCGTCCTCCAACGCGTCGGTTTCGAAAATTAATTCATCTGTTAGTCAAAATGGTCATAATTCGTCAGCACCTGCTCGCTGGTCACTCAATAGTAGAAACGCACCTTGTGGATACTACATGACGTTAAAGATCGCAAATGTTTCGAGACTATACATTAGCACCGAAAGCACCGCTGTTTCCAAAACTCTGATCCAAGTTTAAATTTTTCCATGTGCCATACGGCTTGTCGAAATTCGTCAATGTCAATCCAGTTCACTGATTAACTTCAGGATCAATGTCGCCATTGTTTTCTAACACAGTTCCGAGGAACGTGAAATCCCCGACGTGGACAGTCGTAATACCACCCCGCAGAATCCTCGAACTGCCGGTCGTGGCGGGCATTCGCATGATCCCTGTGTTTTGGCGCTCACGTGTTGTCCAATCGCTACCGCGTTATTGCACATGCTTCCAGCGGGAATCAGTAGCATAGAAAAGGGGCCAGCTTTTAAAACATCTTTTGCAGTGAATATGAGGCTGCTCTAGAGAACAATATTATGCAAGACGAATCTGGCACGCAGGTGCTCGAAAACCATGAAGCTGTGACCTGCTGAGATGCTCCGCAGCTGGAGCTATGAGAAATTTGACGGTACAATGCGTCGTGATATCTGGGCATGAAGGAGTGTGTTATGTAATTCTAACTATGTTTAACTCAAAGGGTGAACGACGCTGAGTTCGAACATCCCGTTATGAGTTCACCGAGGTTTCAGCAGCTTCGCAACGAAGATAAGCCTTCGATCAACAGCGACAGAGATTAAATAACGGATATGAGCCGCGTGATGGCTTCGTTCACAGCTGTGGCAATCGATCCTGAACAAGGTCGGGAAGAGCTGTTCCACCGAGGTGACACGTAAATACGAAATTCGTCATTTGACGACCGAGTCAACAACGGGCTGCAAACAGCTGTCGCGATCGGACGACCGCTATGTCGAGAGATACACTCAGCAAAGTGGTATGCGCACGAGTATGCCGGAGTCGGAGCAAGAAGAGGGCTGCCACTAGCGTGAGGAGACGCGGAGACGAGGAGCGAGGAGCGAGGAACGAGGAGAGGTGCGAGCGCATCTCGAAACTATCAGCCACTTTTTAAGAAACAGCTACCGCGCCTGTTGCGTGCTCGGCATGCGGCGACGCGATTGGCCAGGCGCGGCAAACGCCTCGCCGCCTCGCCTGAACTCGGTTGTGCCAGTTATCGAGTTTGACAGAGCTGACGGAGCTGATGAACGGTAGCCGGACGCACTGCTGACAATGTCCTGGAATGATCTGGTGCAGAATAATTTGGTCGGCACTGGCAAGGTGTCAAAGGCG